AGCAGGACACGGAAAATGTTCACTTTAAATTTCCTCTCAATGCATTTTTACGTTTCAATCTTCTCTTTCCCGTATCCTATAAAAATCAATAAAAGGTGATAAACTTCCGGCGTCCTCGGCTCCCACGTGTCCTGCTCCGTGTATATAAATATCCCTCCGGCGGGCGCGTGGGCGACAGGGTCCTATTATTACCCGGCTGGGGGGAGGGCGAGCCGGCGTCATTACAATCAGCCTCTCTTGTATCAGATCTGCAGAAATCCCTCTGTATGGTCCGGCCGGGGGTTCAGGCCTCAGTCACTGCCGACGCATTCCCACACAGGCCAATGACGGAGGTGACCGGCACGTCCACCCGGAGGAAACATTGTTACAGCCAGAAAAGGATGCCATGGAAAATCTCCATTCATTGGAGGGATGTTTGGTGAGCAGTTACTGAGCGGCTTCTATATGATGGAAATGGACATTTTGTGGTATGTGAAGTACACTGGGAGATGGAGGCTCTCCCTGTGTAACCAGGAGCACTAAGCTGTCAGTGTGACAGCATCCGGCTGTCACAGAACGTCAATAATTACACAGGGAGAGCCGCGTCCTCCTGATATACAGAGCATAGCGCCCGGCTGTCACAGAGCTCAGATGATTACACTAGGAAAGCAGCATTCTCCTGGTATACAGAGCACAGCACCCGGCTGTCACAGAGCTCCGATGATTACACAGGGAGAGCCGCATTCTCCTGTATTCACTATGAAATATGTCTCCGCATTTCCTGTGTTATGAATAACCCCCACACTGGTCTGTACTGGGAAGGGGCGGAACTCACCTTGCAGGCCAGGTTCTCGGCTAGTGACACCATGGAGTTCTTGAAGAGCGCAGCGGCTGTCAGGGGTCTCTTCGTCACCTCGCTTATACTCAACTGTCCGTCTGGCCACATGTCCTTCAGAACCGGATCTTTACTGCAAGAGAGGAGAGACAGAATCAGAACCGTCACATCATCATATCTACAGGAGCAATGTGACCCACTAATGATCGTGTCCATTCACCAACAGTGTGATGTCCGGTATCTGTCCCCCTGTATGCTACCTGTCCCCCTCTATGTTACCTGTCCCTCTGTATATTCCCCGTACCCCTGTATGTTACCTGTACCCCTGTATATTACCTGTACCCCTGTATATTACCTGTACCCCTGTATATTACCTGTGCCCCTGTATATTACCTGTACCCCTGTATATTACCTGTACCCCTGTATATTACCTGTAATCTCGTGATGTCGCGCAATATGCAAATCGCGCGATTTGCATATCGCGCAGTGGGAACGGGGCCTAACTGGGAAGAACCCCCTGCGCCCCGTGTGTGGACACTTTTTTGCCACCAATTTGTGGTCTGTGTTACGGAGCTGACTGTAAACAGTTTGTTACTAAGGTTGCTGTCACCCTTAAAGGAGCACTATGAGTTTATACATGAAAATCATGTCCCCCCCCTTACTCTCCTCACCTCCAATGAGAACATATTTAATTAACAACCTCGTTTCATAGTTCAGATCCTCGAACCCCTTAATGAGTTTGGTTGCCCTCTGCTGGACTTTTTATAGCTCAAGGACATCTTTTCTTAGTACCGGTGACCAGAACTGGACCGCGTACTCCAGATGAGGCCGAACCAGCGATCTATAAAGTGGCAAAATTATAGACTTGTCCCCGCAAAACATTCCCCTCTTAATACAGGACAAGACCCTGCTAGCTTTGTTTACAGCAGCCTGGCGCTGCGGCCTTATCGCCCCAATTGGCCCCCACACCGTTGCGCAGGCTGTGTCCTGCATTTCGGGGGCCCCTCTGGGCTCTATCGGATCCCCGTTAGTAGATATCAGACGCACTTTCGCGGCCGGACTCTGACGGCTCCCGCGGGGTGAGGACGCGGCGCCCCGAATTCTGATTCACACTTTTATTTCCAGCAAAACGTCTGACGTCAGCGAATAATTATCCCCCCGACGCGTTCCAGAAATAACTTCTCACGCGGGAAAGTGTTTCCTCCCCGGATATGAAGGGTGCGATCGACGCGCTGCAGCATGCTCCCCAATTTGTATGATTCCGAGGAAATAACTCCTCACAAAGGTGACACTCAATTTATTTATCATCATCGCAAAGCTGCAGTGATACTACAGATCCCATCATTCCTCTGGGAGTCATGCCTGTGGCTGTCCGAGTGTTGTGAAAAGGGGGACTCTGATGTGGACGGGGGGGGGGCTCTGATGTGAAGGGAGGACTCTGACGTGAAGGGAGGACTCTGACGTGAAGGGAGGACTCTGACGTGAAGGGAGGACTCTGACGTGAAGGGAGGACTCTGACGTGAAGGGAGGACTCTGACGTGAAGGGAGGACTCTGACGTGAAGGGAGGACTCTGACGTGAAGGGAGGACTCTGACGTGAAGGGAGGACTCTGACGTGAAGGGAGGACTCTGACGTGAAGGGAGGACTCTGACGTGAAGGGAGGACTCTGACGTGAAGGGAGGACTCTGACGTGAAGGGAGGACTCTGACGTGAAGGGAGGACTCTGACGTGAAGGGAGGACTCTGACGTGAAGGGAGGACTCTGACGTGAAGGGAGGACTCTGACGTGAAGGGAGGACTCTGACGTGAAGGGAGGACTCTGACGTGAAGGGAGGACTCTGACGTGAAGGGAGGACTCTGACGTGAAGGGAGGACTCTGACGTGAAGGGAGGACTCTGACGTGAAGGGAGGACTCTGACGTGAAGGGAGGACTCTGACGTGAAGGGAGGACTCTGACGTGAAGGGAGGACTCTGACGTGAAGGGAGGACTCTGACGTGAAGGGAGGACTCTGACGTGAAGGGAGGACTCTGACGTGAAGGGAGGACTCTGACGTGAAGGGAGGACTCTGACGTGAAGGGAGGACTCTGACGTGAAGGGAGGACTCTGACGTGAAGGGAGGACTCTGACGTGAAGGGAGGACTCTGACGTGAAGGGAGGACTCTGACGTGAAGGGAGGACTCTGACGTGAAGGGAGGACTCTGACGTGAAGGGAGGACTCTGACGTGAAGGGAGGACTCTGACGTGAAGGGAGGACTCTGACGTGAAGGGAGGACTCTGACGTGAAGGGAGGACTCTGACGTGAAGGGAGGACTCTGACGTGAAGGGAGGACTCTGACGTGAAGGGAGGACTCTGACGTGAAGGGAGGACTCTGACGTGAAGGGAGGACTCTGACGTGAAGGGAGGACTCTGACGTGAAGGGAGGACTCTGACGTGAAGGGAGGACTCTGACGTGAAGGGAGGACTCTGACGTGAAGGGAGGACTCTGACGTGAAGGGAGGACTCTGACGTGAAGGGAGGACTCTGACGTGAAGGGAGGACTCTGACGTGAAGGGAGGACTCTGACGTGAAGGGAGGACTCTGACGTGAAGGGAGGACTCTGACGTGAAGGGAGGACTCTGACGTGAAGGGAGGACTCTGACGTGAAGGGAGGACTCTGACGTGAAGGGAGGACTCTGACGTGAAGGGAGGACTCTGACGTGAAGGGAGGACTCTGACGTGAAGGGAGGACTCTGACGTGAAGGGAGGACTCTGACGTGAAGGGAGGACTCTGACGTGAAGGGAGGACTCTGACGTGAAGGGAGGACTCTGACGTGAAGGGAGGACTCTGACGTGAAGGGAGGACTCTGACGTGAAGGGAGGACTCTGACGTGAAGGGAGGACTCTGACGTGAAGGGAGGACTCTGACGTGAAGGGAGGACTCTGACGTGAAGGGAGGACTCTGACGTGAAGGGAGGACTCTGACGTGAAGGGAGGACTCTGACGTGAAGGGAGGACTCTGACGTGAAGGGAGGACTCTGACGTGAAGGGAGGACTCTGACGTGAAGGGAGGACTCTGACGTGAAGGGAGGACTCTGACGTGAAGGGAGGACTCTGACGTGAAGGGAGGACTCTGACGTGAAGGGAGGACTCTGACGTGAAGGGAGGACTCTGACGTGAAGGGAGGACTCTGACGTGAAGGGAGGACTCTGACGTGAAGGGAGGACTCTGACGTGAAGGGAGGACTCTGACGTGAAGGGAGGACTCTGACGTGAAGGGAGGACTCTGACGTGAAGGGAGGACTCTGACGTGAAGGGAGGACTCTGACGTGAAGGGAGGACTCTGACGTGAAGGGAGGACTCTGACGTGAAGGGAGGACTCTGACGTGAAGGGAGGACTCTGACGTGAAGGGAGGACTCTGACGTGAAGGGAGGACTCTGACGTGAAGGGAGGACTCTGACGTGAAGGGAGGACTCTGACGTGAAGGGAGGACTCTGACGTGAAGGGAGGACTCTGACGTGAAGGGAGGACTCTGACGTGAAGGGAGGACTCTGACGTGAAGGGAGGACTCTGACGTGAAGGGAGGACTCTGACGTGAAGGGAGGACTCTGACGTGAAGGGAGGACTCTGACGTGAAGGGAGGACTCTGACGTGAAGGGAGGACTCTGACGTGAAGGGAGGACTCTGACGTGAAGGGAGGACTCTGACGTGAAGGGAGGACTCTGACGTGAAGGGAGGACTCTGACGTGAAGGGAGGACTCTGACGTGAAGGGAGGACTCTGACGTGAAGGGAGGACTCTGACGTGAAGGGAGGACTCTGACGTGAAGGGAGGACTCTGACGTGAAGGGAGGACTCTGACGTGAAGGGAGGACTCTGACGTGAAGGGAGGACTCTGACGTGAAGGGAGGACTCTGACGTGAAGGGAGGACTCTGACGTGAAGGGAGGACTCTGACGTGAAGGGAGGACTCTGACGTGAAGGGAGGACTCTGACGTGAAGGGAGGACTCTGACGTGAAGGGAGGACTCTGACGTGAAGGGAGGACTCTGACGTGAAGGGAGGACTCTGACGTGAAGGGAGGACTCTGACGTGAAGGGAGGACTCTGACGTGAAGGGAGGACTCTGACGTGAAGGGAGGACTCTGACGTGAAGGGAGGACTCTGACGTGAAGGGAGGACTCTGACGTGAAGGGAGGACTCTGACGTGAAGGGAGGACTCTGACGTGAAGGGAGGACTCTGACGTGAAGGGAGGACTCTGACGTGAAGGGAGGACTCTGACGTGAAGGGAGGACTCTGACGTGAAGGGAGGACTCTGACGTGAAGGGAGGACTCTGACGTGAAGGGAGGACTCTGACGTGAAGGGAGGACTCTGACGTGAAGGGAGGACTCTGACGTGAAGGGAGGACTCTGACGTGAAGGGAGGACTCTGACGTGAAGGGAGGACTCTGACGTGAAGGGAGGACTCTGACGTGAAGGGAGGACTCTGACGTGAAGGGAGGACTCTGACGTGAAGGGAGGACTCTGACGTGAAGGGAGGACTCTGACGTGAAGGGAGGACTCTGACGTGAAGGGAGGACTCTGACGTGAAGGGAGGACTCTGACGTGAAGGGAGGACTCTGACGTGAAGGGAGGACTCTGACGTGAAGGGAGGACTCTGACGTGAAGGGAGGACTCTGACGTGAAGGGAGGACTCTGACGTGAAGGGAGGACTCTGACGTGAAGGGAGGACTCTGACGTGAAGGGAGGACTCTGACGTGAAGGGAGGACTCTGACGTGAAGGGAGGACTCTGACGTGAAGGGAGGACTCTGACGTGAAGGGAGGACTCTGACGTGAAGGGAGGACTCTGACGTGAAGGGAGGACTCTGACGTGAAGGGAGGACTCTGACGTGAAGGGAGGACTCTGACGTGAAGGGAGGACTCTGACGTGAAGGGAGGACTCTGACGTGAAGGGAGGACTCTGACGTGAAGGGAGGACTCTGACGTGAAGGGAGGACTCTGACGTGAAGGGAGGACTCTGACGTGAAGGGAGGACTCTGACGTGAAGGGAGGACTCTGACGTGAAGGGAGGACTCTGACGTGAAGGGAGGACTCTGACGTGAAGGGAGGACTCTGACGTGAAGGGAGGACTCTGACGTGAAGGGAGGACTCTGACGTGAAGGGAGGACTCTGACGTGAAGGGAGGACTCTGACGTGAAGGGAGGACTCTGACGTGAAGGGAGGACTCTGACGTGAAGGGAGGACTCTGACGTGAAGGGAGGACTCTGACGTGAAGGGAGGACTCTGACGTGAAGGGAGGACTCTGACGTGAAGGGAGGACTCTGACGTGAAGGGAGGACTCTGACGTGAAGGGAGGACTCTGACGTGAAGGGGGGACTCTGATGTGATGGGGACTCTGATGTGTGTGTGTGGGGCGGGGGGCGGACTCTACTGATTTGGATCACACACAGGGGTAGAGGAAGACAATTATAAAGGAGACACACGTGTTGATTTGTATGATTTGGACTTTCAGTTCTTTCTACAAGTCGGATGTTTCTTTACAGTTGCGATGTTGTTCTCTATGAGGATACTTTGTATATTGTGCGTGTTACACGTTGTGGAGATCTCTGTGTATAATGAATGGATACGTTTGGTATGATGATGTGATATACAGTGCGGGGATATATGAGAGGTGAGTCTGATGACATTCATAGAAGTTCGTTGGATACTTTTCACACTTATATGATATTTGGGCCCCTTTTAGGTGTTTTGTCGGAGTATCGGAGGGGTTACCTGTTATACATCAGACGTTTGAAGTCCTGGAATAACGTGTCCTTGTTCTTGTCCAGAAACCCTTCCACCGAATAGCTGAAATTGGGGAGAGATTTGACGGTTACACATCTTACAATGTTTTCCGGGAGGAGGTCGGTAGACAGGAACTCGGTTGCCGATAGCGACACATCTCTCCGACACGCGACATGTTTAGATTTCTCTTGCTCAGAAAGTAGGAAATATGTTCTTATATATCGTTGTATTTACTTACGTCACGTCGCCGGCGTAGTGCTTTATCCGGAAATCGCGGTTAAACGCCATGGACTTGTCTGTCGGAGAAAGCTAAGAAGCAGAAGAACACAAGACGTCATCCATCTTGCAGATTAAAGTGGACCTGTCCTCCATTTTCAACTGCCCCAACTATGAGCAGGCAGGGCCAGATTTACTCTCCCTGCCAGGTTCCACAATGCGCCACCCTCCCCTGCCAACCCCCCTCAGGGGGAATGCCAACCAGATAGTGGGGGATGGCAGGGATGGTTTGAATTTTTTTTATTAACTTTTTTTATCACTTTTTTCTTACTTTTTTTACTTCTTAAAATGTTTTATTTATCTTGTTGTCATCTTTTTTTTTTTTTTTAAATAATTTTTTTATCTT